CAGGATCCCATCAGAGTCCCCCTTTACATCAGGGTCCACACCAGAGTCTCCTCTTACATCAGGGTACCCACCAGAGTTCCCTCTTGCATTATGGTCCCCATCAGTGTCCCCCCTTACATCACGGTTCCCATCAGTGTTCCCACTTATATAAGGGCCCCCACCAGAGCCCCTCTTATATCAGGGTTCCCATCAGTGTCCCCATTACATCAGGGTCCCCACCAGAGTCCCCCCCTTACATCAGAGTCCACACCAGAGTCCCCCCTTACATCAGGGTTACCACCAGAGTCCCCCCCTTACATCAGGATCCACACCAGAGTCCCCCCTTACATCAGGGTTCCATCAGTGTCCCCACTTACATCAGGGTCCCAACCAGAGTCCCTCTTACATCAGGGTCCCCATCAGTGTCTTTCTCCTTACATCAGGGTCCCCATCAGTGTCCCCCCTTACATCAGGGTCCCCATCAGTGTCCCCCCCCTTACATCAGGGTCCCCATCAGTGTTCCTTCTTACATTAGGGTCCCCACCGGAGCCCCTTCTTACACCAGTGTCCCCATCAGTACCCCTCCTTACATCAGGGTCCCCATCAGTGTTCCCCCTTACATCAGGGTCCCAATCAGTGTCCCCCTTACATCAGGGTAACCATCAGTGTCCCCCCTTACATCAGGGTCCCCACCAGAGTCCCTTTCTTACATCAGGGTCTCCATCAGTCTCTTCCCTTACATCAGTGTCCCCACCAGAATACCACATTAAACAGAGTCTGGTCAGATTTTTTTCCTATGTATCAGAAGGCTTCCCTTCTCTACTTCACTGACTGGATGAAACTGAAACAATTCTTATCTCGGGGCAAAATCAGAACACAATTCATCTATCCCAGCCAATCCACATGGGGGGGGGGGGGGGGGGGGGGGGAGGAAATGGGAGGGTGATGGAACAGGTCATGGGAAGACCTCAGGACAGATAGAAAAATAGGAGAGAAGAAAATTCTCATATCATAAGACCGGGGGACCCTACACTGAGGAGGACCCTACACTGAGGAGGACCCTACACTGAGGAGGACCCTACACTGAGGAGGACCCTGCAATGAGGGGACCCTGCACTGAGAAGGACCCTGCACTGAGGAGGACCCTGCACTGAGGAGGACCCTGCAATGAGGAGGACCCTGCACTGAGGAGGACCCTGCACTGAGGAGGACCCTATACTGAGGAGGACCCTGCACTGAGGAGGACTCTGCAATGAGGAGACCCTGCACTGAGGAGGACCCTGCACTGAGGAGGATCCTATACTGAGGAGGACCCTACACTGAGGAGGACCTTATACTGAGGAGGACCCTACACTGAGGAGGACCCTATACTGAGGAGGACCCTGCAATGAGGAGACCCTGCACTGAGGAGGACCCTGCACTGAGGAGGACCCTATACTGAGGAGGACCCTGCACTGAGAACCCTGCAATGAGGAGGACCCTGCAATGAGGAGAACCCTGCACTTAGGAGGACCCTGCAATTAGGAGGACCCTGCACTGAGGAGAACCCTGCACTTAGGAGGACCCTGCACTGAGGAGAACCCTGCACTGAGGAGGATCCTGCACTGAGGAGGACCCTGCACTGAGGAGGACCCTGCACTGAGGAGGACCCTGCACTGAGGAAAACCCTGCAATGAGAACCCTGCACTGAGGAGGACCCTGCAATGAGGAGGACCCTGCACTGAGGAGAACCCTGCACTGAGGAGGACCCTGCACTGAGGAGGACCCTACACTGAGGAGGACCCTGCACTGAGGAGAACCCTGCACTAAGGAGGACCCTGCACTGAGGAGAACCCTGCACTGAGGAGAACCCTGCACTGAGGAGGACCCTGCACTGAGGAGGACCCTACACTGAGGAGAACCCTACACTGAGGAGGACCCTGCACTGAGGAGGACCCTGCACTTAGGAGGACCCTGCACTGAGGAGGACCCTGCACTGAGGAGGACCCTGCACTGAGGAGGACCGTACACTGAGGAGAACCCTGCACTGAGGAGGACCCTGCACTTAGGAGGACCCTGCACTGAGGAGGACCCTGCACTGAGGAGGACCCTGCACTTAGGAGGACCCTGCACTGAGGAGGACCCTGCACTGAGGAGGACCCTGCACTGAGGAGGACCCTGCACTGAGGAGGACCGTACACTGAACCAGAGTAGTCATCGGAGGTGCAAGAAAGGTAAGAAGGAGAGAAGATAATAGAGAGCGGGGAAAAGGGAGAGAATGAGGAAAGAGGACATGTGCCGAGGCAATAAAAGGTTTGTAGCCGCTTCCCGACCGTCCTATATAAGAAGTACTGCTACAGGGTGGCAGGGGTGCACAATCACATATATACATATATATACACATGATTTTGTATTTTCGGGTAGGGGGGAGCTAGCCGCTATTGGCTCCTTGGTATGTCAATCATTGAGTCCAATTCTTGGCCGGGATTCGGTGATCTTCAGTGGAGCTAGCAGGGGAGAGGTCTGTATGTAAACAACACAGGTCTCTCCCCTCTCAGCAAGGACATGCTGCTGTGTATCACTAGTACAGTGTCATTCAATGACAAAAAAATTTAAAAGTTTTAATGTTTAAAAAAATGAATAAAAGCTGATTTAATTTTGTTTTACGTACTCTCAGTATACGAAACAAAATTAGAAAAAAAATATTTAATTTCTTCATTCTTCTAAAAAAATTGTGAGAAAAAAATTCTCCATGCCTCCTATTATATACTAAAACTGGTCATTTGGAGGAATCTGTACTGTCCTGATATTTGAGGGGGGGAGGGAATTGTAGTCTGTCCTGACATTTGGGGGGTATCTGTCCTGTCCTGACATTTGGGGGATATCTGTACTGTCCTGACATTTGGGGGATATCTGTACTGTTCTGACATTTGGGGGATATCTGTATTGTCCTGACATTTGGGGGATATCTGTACCATTCTGACATTTGGGGGATATCTGTACTGTTCTGACATTTGGGGGATATCTGTATTGTCCTGACATTTGGGGGATATCTGTACTGTTCTGACATTTGGGGGATATCTGTATTGTCCTGACATTTGGGGGATATCTGTACCGTTCTGACATTTGGGGGATATCTGTCCTGTCCTGACATTTGGGGGGATATCTGTCCTGTCCTGACATTTGGGGGATATCTGTACCGTCCTGACATTTGGGGGATATCTGTACTGTCCTGACATTTGGGGGATATCTGTCCTGTCCTGACATTTGGGGGATATCTGTCCTGTCCTGACATTTGGGGGATATCTGTACCGTCCTGACATTTGGGGATATCTGTACTGTCCTGACATTTGGGGGATATCTGTACTGTCCTGACATTTGGGGGGTATCTGTACTGTCCTGACATTTGGGGGATATCTGTACCGTCCTGACATTTGGGAGATATCTGTACTGTTCTGACATTTGGGGGGTATCTGTCCTGTCCTGACATTTGGGGGATATCTGTACTGTTCTGACATTTGGGAGATATCTGTCCTGTCCTGACATTTGGGGGATATCTGTCCTGTCCTGACATTTGGGGGATATCTGTACCGTCCTGACATTTGGGGGATATCTGTACCGTCCTGACATTTGGGGGATATCTGTCCTGTCCTGACATTTGGGGGATATCTGTACCGTCCTGACATTTGGGGGATATCTGTACCGTCCTGACATTTGGGGGATATCTGTACTGTCCTGACATTTGGGGGATATCTGTACTGTCCTGACATTTGGGGGATATCTGTACTGTTCTGACATTTGGGGGATATCTGTACTGTTCTGACATTTGGAGTATATCTGTACTGTTCTGACATTTGGGGGATATCTGTACTGTCCTGACATTTGGGGGATATCTGTACTGTCCTGACATTTGGGGGATATCTGTACTGTTCTGACATTTGGAGTATATCTGTACTGTCCTGACATTTGGGGGATATCTGTACTGTCCTGACATTTGGGGGATATCTGTACTGTTCTGACATTTGGGGGATATCTGTACTGTTCTGACATTTGGGGGATATCTGTACTGTCCTGACATTTGGGGGATATCTGTACTGTTCTGACATTTGGGAGATATCTGTACTGTCCTGACATTTGGGGGATATCTGTACTGTTCTGACATTTGGAGTATATCTGTACTGTCCTGACATTTGGGGATATCTGTCCTGTCCTGACATTTGGGGGATATCTGTACTGTTCTGACATTTGGGGGCATTTGTACTGTCCTGACATTTGGGGGGTATTTGTACTGTCCTGACAGTATGAGGAACTGCACCCTCCCCCACTGTTAATGCATGCTGGAGTATGGGGGTTTTATTGCGCTGTGTTCATTCTGGGCCATCCGTGCTCTGCTGTGCTCAGGGCACCTGCCCCTCCTGCCCACTCCTGCCCCTCCTGCCCACTCCTGCCCCTCCTGTCCACTCCTGCCCCTCCTGCCCCTCCTGCCCACTCCTCCTGACCCTGCATGCCACCATAGTGAACCCAACAATGGCTGAACTTCCAGAGTTGGTCATCAACCAACTATGGTGGCGTCACCCAGGATTGATTACAACTGCTGCAGAATGGCCACTGGTTTACAAACGTCATTGGGAGGCTTTCTCTCTCTCTCCCCCCCCCTCTCTCCCTTCCCCCCCCCCCCCCTCTCCCTCTATCTCTCTTTTCCCCTCTTTCTCACCCTTTCTCCCCCCCCCCTCTCTTTTCCCCTCCCCCCCCCGCTGTTTTCCCATCTCTCCCTCTCTCTCCCCCCTCTCCCTCTCCCCCCCTCTCTCCCTCTCTCTCCCCCCCTCTCTCCCCCCTCTCCCTTTCTCTCCCTCCCCCTCTCTCCCTGCCTCTCTCCCTCCCTCTCTCCTCCCCCTCTCCCTCCCCCCCCTCTCTACCCCCCTCTCCCTCCCCCCCTCGCCCTCTCCTTTTCTCTCTCTCTCCTGTATTTATCATCTATTTTTCTTGTAGATCATGTCAGTAATCCTAAAGGACTACACCAGGCTTCACGATCACATGATTCTCATTGACCATCCTATAGAGGACAGTCAGACTGACAAAGGTAAGAATACCGAGAATGACACCCGGCATCCGGGACAAGAGAAGTGGGACTGTGCTGAGTCCATACATACAGAATAGGGACAGATACCGAGAATGACACCCGACATCCAGGACAGGAGAAGTGGGACTGTGCTGAGTCCATACATACAGAATAGGGACAGATACCGAGAATGACACCCGACATCCAGGACAGGAGAAGTGGGACTGTGCAGAGTCCATACATACAGAATAGGGACAGATACCGAGAATGACACCCGGCATCCAGGACAGGAGAAGTGGGACTGTGCAGAGTCCATACATACAGAATAGGGACAGATACCGAGAATGACACCCGGCATCCGGGACAGGAGAAGTGGGACTGTGCAGAGTCCATACATACAGAATAGGGACAGATACCGAGAATGACACCCGGCATCCAGGACAGGAGAAGTGGGACTGTGCAGAGTCCGTACATACAGAATAGGGACAGATACCGAGAATGACACCCCGTAGAAGAGGAATGATGCTGCCCGTGTTTGCTGTACATGGGGAGGTTATCTGGGTGTCAGTGGACGATTCTTCCCGGATATCCTGGCGATTGTCATTCTCTTGGCTCTATGAAGAGTTATTTGTAGTAAACAGGAATTGTGGAGAATCTTCATTATAATTGTTTCTCTCTCTGTTATGATCAGGAATGTTCAGGAACAGACGGCTCCCCCGGCCTTCCTCCCGCCTGATCTGCTCCCTGTGGGCTCTCGGCATCACACTTCTCTTCCTCGCCATGGTCATCCTCATTGTCACGGTCACAGGTGTGGTCACCTTCATGGCATCTGCACATACAGAAGTTATGTGTTGTCAGCAGTCTACACAGTGATTTGCAATACAAAAAGGGAGGCAATACACAATTCATAGAAGAGGGTTAGGAGGGTCCTACGCAGGAGAGCTTACACTCTAAAGGGCTGCTAATGATACTAAAGCTAATACCTGTTAGGGGGGAGCGGAGGAAGAAAGTCAATGTTGCCGAAAGGTTGACTGAGTAGGAAATAGCCAGACACACTGGAGTAGAGAGTCCCAGAGGATGGGAGGGGCTATGGACAGGTTGGGGTAGGAAGTCTTAGATAATGGGAGAGGCCCTGGACAGGTGGTGTTAGGGAGTCCCAGAGGGTGGCAGGGGCCCTGGAAAGACTTGGGTAGAGAGTTCCATAGGATAAGAGAGACTCTGATAAGATTGGGGTAGAGAGTTCCATAGGATGGGAGAGGCTCTGGAAAGATTAGGGTAGAGAGGTCCATATGATGGGAGAAGCTCTGGACAGATAGGGGTAGAGATTTCCAGAGGATGGGCAAGACTCTGGATAGAATGGGGTAGGGAGTTCCAGAAGATGGGAGAGGCTCTGGACAGACTGGAGAAATCAGTTGTAGAAGTGGGGGAAGGCTTTTTGGACAGACTAGGGTAGGAAGTCTCAGATAATGGTGGACAAGTTGGGGTAGAGAGTTTCAGAGGATGGGAAAGTTTCTGGACAGATTAGAGTAGGGATTCCCAGAGGATGGGAGATATTCTGAACAGACTGGCATAGGGATTCCAAGAGGATGGGAGAGGCTCTAGACAGATTGAGGTAGGGAGTTCCAGAGGATGGGAGAGTAGATAGATTAGAGTAGGGGGGCCTAGAGGATGGAAGGGGCTCTGAACAGATTGGGGTAGGGAGTCCTAGAGGATGGGAGAGGCTTTCGACACGTTGGGGTAGGGAGTCCTACAGGATGGGAGAGGCTCTAGACAGATTGGGGTAGAGAGTTCCATAGGACGAGAGAGACTCTGGAAAGATTGTGGTAGGGAGTTCCAGAAGATGGGAGATGCTCTAGACAGATTGGGATAGGAAGTCTCAGATAATAGAAGAGGCTCTGGACAGGTTGTGTTAGGGAATTCCAGAGGATGGGAGAGGCTCTGGACAGATTGGAGTAGGGGTACCAGAGGATGGGGGAGGCTCTGGACAGATAGGAGTAGGGATACCAGAGGATGGGGGAGACTCTGGACAGATTGGAGTAGGGGTACCAGAGGATGGGGGAGGCTCTGGACAGATTGGAGTAGGGTTACCAGAGGATGGGAGAGGCTCTGGACAGATTGGAGTAGGGGTACCAGAGGATTAAGAGGTTCTGGACAGATTGGAGCAGGGGTACCAGAGGATTAAGAGGTTCTAGACAGATTGGAGTAGGGGTACCAGAGGATGGGAGGGGCTCTGGACAGATTGGAGTAGGGGTACCAGAGGATGGGAGAGGCTCTGGACAGATTGGAGTAGGGGTACCAGAGGATTAAGAGGCTCTGGACAGATTGGAGTAGGGGTACCAGAGGATGGAGAGGCTCTGGACAGATTGGAGTAGGGGTACCAGAGGATGGAGAGGCTCTGGACAGATTGGAGTAGGGGTACCAGAGAATGGGAGAGGCTTGGACAGATTGGAGTAGGGGTACCAGAGGATGGGAGAGGCTCTGGACAGATTGGAGTAGGGGTACCAGAGGATGGAGAGGCTCTGGACAGATTGGAGTAGGGGTACCAGAGAATGGGAGATGATTGGACAGATTGGAGTAGGGGTACCAGAGGATGGGAGAGGCTCTAGTCAGATTGGAGATCGGTGGGAGAGGCTATGGACAGATTGGAGTAGGAGTACCAGAGGATGGAGGAGGCTCTGGACAGATTGGAGATCGGTGGGAGAGGCTATGGACAGATTGGAGTAGGAGTACCAGAGGATGGAGAGGCTATGGACAGATTGGAGTAGGGGTACCAGAGGATGGGGGAGGCTCTGGACAGATTGGAGTAGGGGTACCAGAGGATGGGGGAGGCTCTGGACAGATTGGAGTAGGGGTATCAGAGGATGGGGAGGCTCTGGACAGATTGGAGTAGGGGTATCAGAGGATGGAGAGGCTCTGGACAGATTGGAGTAGGGGTACCAGAGGATGGAGAGGCTCTGGACAGATTGGAGTAGGGGGTACCAGAGGATGGGGAGGCTCTGGACAGATTGGAGTAGGGGTACCAGAGGATGGGGAGGCTCTGGACAGATTGGAGTAGGGGTACCAGAGGATGGAGAGGCTCTGGGACAGATTGGAGATCGGTGGCAGGCAGTGAACAGTTGGTAAGGTGGTGTATTGTTCGGCCACGAGGAGGGAACTGCGGTTGTCAAGGCAAGAGATAACCAGGGAGTGGATTAGTAGGCTGGTGGTGTCATTGGTCAAGTAGTGGTGTCATTAGTCAAGTAGTGGTGTCATTAGTCAAGTAGTGGTGTCATTGGTCAAGTAGTGGTGTGTTTGGGAATGTCACGGACAGTGCCGGGACAGGGTCATCTAACGCTCAGGGTGAAGATTGCACCCTGAGTGCCCCCCAAACGTATGAGCATTATATGTCAGCAAAACTTCCCTCCCCCTCCCCCCAAAAAAATGATGTGAGCACTAATCTGCATGCTTCTCCTCTATGGCTGCATTCACACTTGAGTCTGGAGTGTTTTGTAGTTCGAAGCTCCAAAAAAGCTCAAACTTAAAAAAATAATTAGCGTGATCAGGTGTGAACAGGCACCATAGAGGACAAGTGATTTTCAACGTTTGAGCTTTTTTGGAGCTGCAAGCTACAAAGGTTCAAGTGTGAATGCAGCCTAAGCATCAATTCCCCTCTTCCTGTACAAATCCACAAATGCTCCCCCACAGTGAAATTCCTATCCCAACTCAAAACGTTGCCCCCCTCCCAGCTCAGTTTCTCTCCCTCCTTAAATCCCATCTACCAGCACAAATCCTCTACCCTTCAAATTTCCCTTAAAAGTATAAATCCTCTCTTCGTTTCCAACCCCCCTCCCAGCACAAATCCCTCATACCAGCACAAATCCGCTCCCCCAAATCCCCCTTCCTAGCACAAATTCCCTCAAATCACCCCTCCTAGCATATCCCCCTATAATCACCCCCAGCACAAATCCTCTCCGCCCCCCCCAATGTTTCCTCCTAAAACATCTTACTCCACTGCTGCCCCCCAAATGCTTCCTCCCAGCAGTAATTCTCTCCCCCTCAATCCCCCCTCCTTACACATATCGACCCAAACCCCCCTCCTGGCACCAAACTTCTTCTCCCCCCCCAGCTCAAATTATTTCCTTCCTTAAATCCCCCCTTCAAGCACAAATCCTCTACCCTTCAAATTTCCCTTCTCAGCATAAATCCTCCCTACAGATCCCTCCTCCCAGCACAAATCCCCCCCTACCAGCACAGATCCTCTGCCCTTCAAGTTTCTCTTCTGACCATAAATTCTCTCTCCCTACAAATCCCCCCCCCCCCCCCAGCACAAATCCTCTCCCCCAAATCACCCCTCCTAGCATACCCCCCCCCCATATATTCTGGAAGCTTCTTCCAAAGACAGGTGGTAGAAATCAAATCCTCAGTTTAGGAAACCCTGACCGAACAAAAAACTATCGATCGCTGATCCGCACGCTACAGTGAAGCAAAAGACGAATGCAGTCTAATCAGGAGAGCGCTACGGGGCTCATTTCTTGGTAGATATAAAGGCTGATTGTACAATTGGATTGTAATGTGTGTGGCCAGCTTTAGATGATATTTGCAGTGACTGCTGGGAAGTCGATGTGAGGAGGAGCCTCATTCCTTTTTGCCTCCTGCAGGCCAGACGGAGCAGAAGATCGAGGGGAGACTCAGTAATCTGAGTTTGGGGATGCACTCCAGGGTGGAACGTCTGTCCCAGGATGGTAGGAGGGACCTCTAGTGGGGGTGGGGTGACATTCGATGATGGGAGTCCCATATACTCACCCTTGTGAATGTTCTTCCCCCTCCAGATTACAGGACGTTGCAGAAGCTGACCGCCATTGAAACCTCCATGGGGGACCTTAAAGGTGAGATGAGGGATGGGCTGGGGGGGGGGGGGGGGGGAATGTAAGAAGAACGCAGATGTATTCCCAGCACAATGCACCACATTGGGATTTATTCCCGGGCGTCGCAGTGCCGTTTCAAATGGAAGTACAATAAAGTGGATCTGACATAATCAGGGCACCAAATCATATCAAAAGGATGTCTCTAGCTCAGTCCTCCTGCAGCTAGGATGGTAAGCAGTGTGAGCCCCTGAGTATGACTAGTGGTGGGCCCAACACCCCCCTGTTTGGTTCGCGGTTGAACATTCGAACCTACAGAAAAATCCATACCAGACCCTTAATGAGCATGCAGCCCCAGCAGGTCAGGAAAGGGCGGGGGGTGAGCAAGAGTACCCCCCACCTGAACCATACCAGGCCAAATGCCCTCAACATGGGGGGGTGTTGGGGCAGGGAGGCTCCCCCGCCAAAAGACACATTGTCCTCCTGTTGATGGGGACAAGGGCCTCTTCCCCAAAAACGTGGCCAGTGGTTGTG